CTAACTGTACATCCTTCCGCTTACCCTTTCGTCAGCTACCCCAATGGTGATGTCCACATACTCGATTTTGTTACGGTTTCAATGTATCTTATAAACAGCTGGAAGCGTATAATTGAAGTTGGTGTCGTTAAAACTGCTAGTAAACCTCTATTGGGACGTAATACCATGGTCTTATTGAACGTATCATCATGCGTCAGCCGGATGACCATTGCCAGTGGCAACCTAAATTCGTTACGTTCCAGTTATCCAAATCTCTTTCTTCCGGATATTGGTAGAGTCCCAAAAGCAATGCACCACATTCGGTTGAGCGAGGATTAAAAACCTTTCAGCAATGCTCCACCTAATCCTGTACCTCTGGCCAAGCGAGAAGCGTTGTCGCAAGCTTTGCAAAATCTGGTCACGGAAGTCTTGATAGAACCCATACAGTGTTCTGAATGGGTTCATCCACTAGTTGCCGTTCAAAAGAAACATGGCGTTATTCGCGTATGTACCGATCTTCGAGCGCTTAATCGACAAATACATGTGGACAAGTTCCCTCTGCCTTCTCTCGACGAGTTGATGGTCAAGCTATCCAACACCAAACTTTTCTCAAAGCTGGATATTCGCAGCGCACACTATCACATGCCACATACTCCAGATTGTCGACAGTTGACTGCTTTCCTCACCCAAGACGGTTTGTATCAATACAAAGTGCTACCAATGGGCCTTAGTAATGCCCCAGCAGCCTATCGTTATCAGATCTCAAAGGATGTGTTGTGTAAATGGATGATATTCATGTCTTTGGTAGTAACCCAAGCGAACATCAGAAAAACTTACGTAATGTGCGGCAGAAACTGAATGAACTAAATCGCCGTATGAATACCAACAAATGCCAATTCGCTGTAACGGAGGTCAAGTTTTTTGGACATGTTATTTCTACCTCGGTTATTAAGACTAATGTGCAGAACACCAGTGCCATTCTCTATTGTCCAAAACCATGCAGCGTTAAACAGATGAAACATTTCTTGGGTTTGTGTTCGTATTGCCTTCGACATTTACTGAAGTTTGTGAATATTACCAAGCCCTGACAGAGGTAGATGCGCCAAAATCAGGAGTTTCGTTGGGTCACTGAACAAGACAATGCTTACATGACCATACCAGCAATGATTGAATCCACTCCTACGGTGACGATCTTCAATGAGCACTGTCCAATGTTTGTTTCAACTGATGCTTCAGATGGCTTGGGTGCAGTTCTGTCCCAGCTGCGCGATGGGGATTTGAAAATGATTGCGTACGCATCAGGTAACTTGTCTGGTACTGAAAGCAATTATTGCACTGGCGAGAAGGGGGCCCTCGCGTGCGTCTGGGAATGTGAGAAACGGCACTTTTACTTATTCGCACGTCCATTCACTTCGCGCACCGATCATTCTGCTCTTATAACGTTACTAAGTCGCGGTAGTAAAGGCAAAAAGCCGGTACGCTTGAGTCTCTGGTACTCACGTTTATTAAACTATGATTGTGAAATACAGTACGTGCCAGGGTACTTAAACCAACTTGCAGATGCCTTGTCGAGACCCCACTGTCCAACGAAGGCGAAAATGAGGACTTAGGAGGTAAAAATGATATCGCAGCTCTCAGACGGAATACCTACAATATTATTTGACCTGATACAAGAGTACACTGACGAAGACCCTGCCCTAGCGAAGCTTCGGGAGTACATAACCACTTCATGGCTTAGACGTACCAAGATCCAACCTGAGTTACTTCCATACTATACCCTACGGAAAGAGCTTTCTACTGTGAGCAACTGCATTATTAGAGGTGAGCAGTTTGTGGTCCACGCAACCCTTATTCCCATGGTGGTTGCATGTGCGCATGAAGATCATCCAGGGATTGTGCGAACAAAAGCTAAGGTACGACAATACTGTTGGTGGCCGAAGTTCGACTCCAGCTTTGAGGCGGTTATTCGGGAATGTTACGCCAGCCAACACTCCGGTACAAGTGCTAGGCTCCTGAATGCTCCAGTCCAACCGATCGTTTACCCAATGAAGCCATGGGAAAAATTTGCCATCGATATTATGGGCCCGTTTGGCAATGCACCTCCGCAGAAGCGAAATGTGCTAGTGGCTCCATGTTTCTACAGCAAATGGCCAGGGGCCATTCTATGCGGGGAGGTAACTACAGCCGTCACCCTAAATTGGCTCCGTTGTTTGTATGCAAGCTACAGTTTGCCTGAAGGAATAGTCACTGATAACGGCCCACAGTTTCGAAGTAACGAGTATGATGAATTCTTAAGGCGCAATGGTATCAGACACAGGAGGACTGTACCTTATAATCCTGCAGCGAATGGACTCGTTGAACGACTTAATCGTAAGTTGAAAAAATCTCTACAAGGCCTTCGGCTTTCGGGAGAATCCTGATATGATGGGTTGGTATTTGCCTTGAAGGTATACAGAACCACTCCACGTACTGCAACAGCAAGGACCCCCTCGGAGCTAATGCTAGGGCGAACAAATTGAACTCGATTAAATGCAGCCTTTACATACAAAGAAACCGGCTATCACAAGGGATACGAAAGACGGGGTGCTTACCAGACTAAATATAGACGCGTCGGGAAAACGTATGCTCTAGGGACGTTTTTCATGTGAGACTACCCAATTCACGGAAAGGAGGCAATGTATTCGGAACGCCGACCCGTGTGGAATCTGTGTGCACGCCAGGAACTTATAGGTTGGCTGATGAGACAAAGGTGGATGCAAGATGGCTGCATACAGCGCTTTCCCAAACTGCTATTGAACAGACGAGCACACCTACAACGCAGCGTTTGGTACAAACTAATACAAACTTACGGCGTTCCAGTCGGGTACGCCGCCCTGTCTACCAATACGCCTTAACGGATAACGCCACAAGACAATTCTTCGAGATGCTGACATTAAAGTTGATCGTTCATAGACATGTAGTGTCTATATATTTACGAACAGAGGTGGGGGCAATGTCGTGTTCAAATTGTTTGCTTTGCTTTTGCCCTCGATTCGCTTATCCTACCCACACTTTTATTTTGCACTCGTTGGCCTATCATGTGATCTTGCATTTGATTGGTCGCAATGCGGACTTCCATCGAGTTAATTGTACTGCCCGTGTGTGCGGACGGTTTCGTCCATACATACGTTCCTGTGCTGCACTGGTCTGCTGCTTTTTCGGGATACTCGCTGTTTGTTGGTTTCACTTAAGAATTTGATACGTGAATTGCGAGGAATTTTGGCCGGTGTTGGGTAGGTTTGCTTTTCCGAACACGTTTAATTGAATGTCGGCACAGTGGTATGCGGACGAGAGTGCAGCTGAGTGTGCAGACCTTGGATGATTTTGCAGTAGTTTCTGGTGTTAAGCAAAACTGTGTCTTAGCTCCAACCCTGTTTAATGTTTACCTTCATGCCATGATGTCTTGTACATGTCATGTTGCTTGTGCTTACCGTGTTCGTGTGGAGCACCGTATTGATGGTGTGTTGCTGAACATCCGTCGTTTCGGTGCGATAATCCTAGGCTGTGAGAAAACTGTACGTATGCTGCAGTTCGCTGACGACTCGGCGTTGTACGCAAGCAACGTGGATGTGTTGCATCACATGAGTATTGCTCTGGTTTCGACGCTGGCCAACTTCGGATTCAACAGCAACACAAGCAAAACTGTGTGTCACTTTCAATCTACGAGCAATCTACGATGCAATCTACAATGGTGACGAAGTATTGGGAACCACCTTCCGCTTCTGATACCTTGAGAGTGTTGTTTCGACTGACCAGGAAATACACACTGAGCTGCGTATCCGCGTAACGAAGGCAGCGGCGACATTCGGGTAGCTTGAGAACCGAGTGAGAAACAGCCATCTGCTTACCGTTGCCACGAAGCTGATGGTCTACTAGTTCATGGTGCTGTCTGTTCCTCTATGTAGCACCGACACGTGGACGATATACCGGCGACATGTGAGACATCTTGAGCCGTTTCGTCAACAGTGTCTGCGACGGATTCTGCGCATCGGTTGGTGCGACAGAGTTGCAGACACAGAGGTGTTACACCGAAGTGCAATGTATGCAGTAGCCTGCATTCTTTTACTGCGACACCTGTGGCTCCGTCATGTGTGCCGTATGGATTCGACGCGGATAACAAAGCTGCTGTTGCATGGTCAGCTGAGTGTGGGGAAACGGCATGTTGGGAAACCAAAACTTCGTTAGCGGTACATGATCAATTTGAGCCTCTCAAGTTCTAAGGTTGATTACACGCGTTGGGAATCGAAGGCGATTGATCGGCTTGCATGGCGCGATCTGATCACGAAGGAGGTTGTTGAAATGCAGGAAAATGCTCCCGTGCACGCGGAGAACTAGCGACAGGCGCTGATGGGTCATAATTCACCGACATCGAGCTCCTGTTGCTGTGTCACATACAGTCGCGATTGCTTGAGTCAGCAGGTCTAGTGAGCCACGAGCGAGGCCACTCGGAACCAGTGTGGAAACAAAGAAGAGTCTTGTTGAGGACGTAAGCAGAACCGGCACAACAATGTTACGTAGGCTGCATGCGCTTCCATCCGATTTGCCGACCGTGTGCTTGGGTGCGGATTTTCAATATTTTAGATGATTGGTCTGCTGTATTTTCAGTAGGCTTGTTTTGATAGCTCATGTTAATGTCCACCTGATTCATATTCTATTAACTTGTACATGTCGCTGTAACGACAATTGGTTACCTTCGTTTCTTTTTTCTCATCTGTTGCATACGATTGATTGATCATTTGTTTCAAGATGTTAAACTTTGTGCGAATATGTGGATAACTCATTTATTTCCTATGTTGATTTAGTGAAGAGTTGTGTCGGCCTATCCGAATACTTTATTCGATATATTTTGTTTGATATTGTCATTTCAACTGATTGGTTGCTGCTTGGCATCCCCGGTGTGGTTGCACTAGATGTGTATGTTGAGAAGGTGTCTACCGGTATATTATGTTGTGACGCCCAGTACGCCTTCACCCCACGACCGCAAGAAGAAGTCCAAGATGAGCCGGGATGAACAGATTTTCTATTGCAGTACGGCACCAGTTATATAGCTTTACAACAAGGGCGAAGCCAAGCTACTAAACGCATGAGGTCCAACAGGCATGGAGAAAACACAAAATGGAACAAGCAAATGAGAATCGCGAAAATTACGAGCCAATGAAGTGCGGCAAAGAAAATAGTGTCTGCGGAGTTAATCCCTGGGGGTAACCTTCTGATGAGCGACCATTAAAAACGACGAGTAGTGTCCAATCAGTGTGGAGAAGTGATGCGTTTAAACAAATGCCAGAACAGTTGATAGTGAGAATGATACAAACCAGGAAAATAAAAACAGGCATAATAAATATGTGTTGGCTGAATAATACATCCACGTGAAAAAGCTAAGGAACGCTGAGCAAAAGAAACCAATCAGAATGTCCACAGAATGAGACGGCTGAAATGAGCTGTGAGCGATTGCGAATGAGGCTGAGGAAAGCGACGTGTCCAAAATGTAGCAGAGAAGCAGGTAACTGCGCAAACAAAGAAATAGGCAACTAAAATAATTCATGAAACTGAGGGTTAAGTAGCCAGCCCCCTAACATCTCCCCCTTCTAAAAAGTTAGTTACCTGTACGGAACATAGCTTTTTCGACGCGGGTCCACTTGAAATGGCTGTACAAATTTTCTTGTTCGTTGGGGTCTGTTCCGACCTTCTTGTTCCGGGCATTCCCTTGGTTGAAATTCTCGGCGTGAAGAAGCACTTGGTTTACCATTGTCAAGCAACTCATTAACATCAAATCTGTTGGCATTCTGAACATCACCTTCCAGTGTACACCTCGGTTTCAGCTGATTTGCGTGACGTCTCCATACCTGCGCACCAACTTGAACATCGTACATCACCCGCCCCCGACGTCGCACGATGCGTCCTGGTATCCAGCTGATCCGCCGTCCCTGAATAGCCGCTGCAGATACAAATTCGCCAACTCTGAACATCCTTCTCCGTGCTCCGTACCGCCTGTTGTATTGCTGCTCCATTGCTAAGTTCCTTGTTTGTGGGAGAGGACGCCTGGGTGTCAGCAAATCCAGTGTAGTTCTCAATCTGCGACCCATTAGGACTTCAGCTGGTGACTTCCCATCGGGTGCATTGGGATTGGGAGTTACTCGATAATTCAATAGGAACCGGTCCAGTCTTTCGTCCAACGTTCCCTCGCCTTTTGACTTCAAAAGTGCTCTTTTCAGGGTATCAACGAATCTTTCCGCTTGGCCATTTGACTGTGGATAATATGGTGCTGTCCTCACGTGCTCGATTCCATTTTGTGCGCAAAACTCGGCGAATTGATAGGACGTAAACTGCGATCCGTTGTCGGAAATAACGGTTTTTGGTAGGCCATGCTGACTGAATACATGTCTCATTTCCGAGATCGTGCTGTTTGAGGACGTGGTTTTCATCCGGATCACTTCCGGCCACTTACTGTACGCGTCAACCATCACAAGAAATTCCACACCCTCGACTGGTCCTGCGAAATCAACATGTATGCGCGACCAGGGAGATCCTGGATTCGACCAAGATTGCAATGGCACACGCACCGGCAGTTTGGATGCACTGATGCATCTGGAACAGGATCGACCGATATCCTCAATTTGGCTGTCCATCATCGGCCAAAAGACGTAGCTGCGAGCGAGTGCCTTCATGCGGGCGATTCCTGGATGGCCCTTGTGCAGCTCTCTTAGTATGCGTTGTCTGAGCACTTCTGGAATGACTATGCGATCTGCGAAAAACAGACAGGAATCAACTTCCGACAATGCGCCTCGCCTTGTGAAGAACTGGGTCAAAGCTTCGTTCGGACACTTCTTTGGCCATCCACTTCTTGTATAGGTTAATACTTCTTGTAGCACAGCGTCCTGTTTAGTGGCTTGCGCAACCATTAAACCATTCACTGGCAAGTTACACACTGCGTCTTGTATCATGTAGCTGACGTCCGATTCGGCTGCAATGGATGCAATGACTGCGTCTTCTTGATCGCGTCTACCGGTATTGATCAGTCTGGACAGGGCGTCCGCTTGTCCAATAGAATCAGTGGACAAATACCGCATGCCAAAATCATACCCCAGGAGCAGAGTTGCCCAGCGCTGAAGTCGACTGGCTGTATATGTCGGAATGCCTTTCTTAGATCCAAAGATTGCCAAAAGCGGTTTGTGGTCAGTCACCAGCGTGAATCTTCTGCCATATATCATCTTGTGAAATCTCTGTACGGCAAAGATAATAGCCAACGCCTCCTTCTCAATTTGACTGTAGTTCTTTTCAGATGCGGTCAACGCTCGTGCCACATGTGCCACAGCCTTTTCGGACCCGTCTGGAAAGCGATGTGAGATGACAGCACCAATTCCATAACTCGAAGCATCCGTAGCCACGACAATCTCCTGCTTCGGATTGTAATGCGTAAGGAGCAAATCTGATTTCAGCAGAGATTTGAGTTTGTCAAAAGCTTCTTGACACTGTGCGGACCAGTTCCATTCAACATCTTTCATCAACAATTGGTTTAAAGGATGACGTAATCGATGCATGCAAGGTAGGAACTCACTATAATGACTAACCATCCCAAGGAATGAGCGCAAGGTTGTGACATCCGTTGGTGCCGGTAATCTGTCTATGGCCTCGATATTTTCAGGATCAGGCCGTCGACCGTTCTCGTCAATCACGAAACCCAGGAACTTGATGGATTTCAGGAAAAATTTGCATTTGTCAGCTCGCAACCGGAATCCATATTCCTTAATTCTCATCATCACGTCATCCAATCGTTGAAACAATTCCTCCTGGGTTCCGCCCATTATGATGATATCATCTAGATAGGCTGCTGCTCCCGTCAAGCCAGTCAACATAGCGTCCATAACTTGTTGAAAGATTGCAGGTGCAGTTTTTACTCCAAATGGCAAACGATTATACTGGTAAAGGCCGCGATGCGTGTTGATGGTCAGAAGTTTTCTGCTTTCCGGTTCGACCTGCAGTTGCAAATAAGCGTCTGCCAGATCCAGAGTAGCAAAGTACTTGCCTCCATTCAGCTTTGCAAACACGTCGTCTGGGAGTGGAAGCGGGTACTGATGGGGTTCTAATGCAGCATTCAAGCCGGTTGAAAAATCTGCACATAAACGAACTGAGCCATTCGGTTTTCTGATCACAACGATAGGCGCCGCCCATTGTGAGAAACTGACTTGCTCGATCACTCCGGCCTGCTGTAATCGATCAAGCTCATGCTCCACTAGTTCTTGGGATGCGTGAGGGACTGGACGTCTGGGTCGGAACACTGGTTTTGCCTCAGGAAGCAAGGTAAGCTTTGCCTGCATTTTCGTGCAATGTCCAAGCTCTGATTGAAATACACATGCATACTTCGATTGAAGCAGTTCTGCAATACTTTGACCCGGCTGATTCGATACGGCTGTACGAAGCACCGCGACATTATTCTCAGAACAAATGTGACTCAATGGTACGTCGAGTAGATGCAGCTTCTCGATCCAATCGATGCCGAGCAGATTTACGTCACTGCTCGTAACCAAGTAAATCGTGCCACGAAGATTCAAGCCATTGAAGCTGACTTCGCACTCAATCTCGCCATCTAATCTCAGTGGTCCCCCAGATGCATTTTTAGCCGTCAGGGTTGTGCGTTTGAATGCTGGTCTCCCAAGCCTCTTCCAGACTGATCTCGAGATGATTGTAATGTCGGACGCTGTATCCAGCTGCAACGTGATAGGAACACCATTGACTTTTACTGACACGTACTTTCTCTTGCGTTCAAGTTCTGTGCGAAAGGCGGCGAGGATTATCTTTGCGGCCGGTCCGTGAAAATTGGCTCTTCTAAAATTGGGATTTACGCGCATTTTGGGGGGAAAAGAACGTTTGAAATTGTTCACAACTCGGCAGTGGGTTTCCTTATGGCCAATCCGTCTGCACTTCTGACATTGGTGCGTTTTATATGTGCAATCTCTCACAAAATGCCAGGCGCCACAATTCCAACATGCGGTCGGGGGCTTCTGAGTTGATCCAGTTCGATTCATTCCTTTACGTCGGATAGCTGTACGACAAATTTGGGGTTCAATTCTGTGATCACCAGTTTCAACCATTTTTGTATCGTGCTTCAAATTAATCAGCCGCTGGCATTCTGTAGTGATATCCTGCAACGTCAGTTGTGGTTCCTGTTCAAGCTTGTGTAAAATTCGTGTGCGAATATCGGCATCAGCGTGGGACTGGAGACTGCACACAAAAATAAGACTCTTAAATTGATCCGCAGTCATCGTGCCCAGTTTGAATCGTTCGCATTCGCGGTTCACAATCCCAGCATGAGTGACAAAGTCATGAACATCGCGTTTGACCAACTTCAAACAATTGTACCGAATGCTGAACAAAGAGGCTTGCTCACTGAAGATCTGCGTCAAAGTTCTCACGGTCTCATCAAAGCTGAAGTCCCTTGCGTTTTTCGGCAACACGAAATTTGTGTAGCGTTCATGCTCCACTGCTCCAAGTTTTCTCAACAACAATCGAACTTTCCAGGCATCATCTTGGTCAGCAAACTCCACTCGAAAAATATCCTCATACTTCTTAAACCATGAATCGAAGGTTACACCACTCAATCCATCGAAAACAAATTCTGTGATTGATGCAGTAAGGGCGTCCACTGATGATCGTGCAATCGTCGTCGTCGGGGGTTCTGTCTGAAGGTTCAATTTCTGTGTAAGCAATTCGATCAGCTGCCTTTGCGATTTCTCAAATTGCAATTGTTGCTGTTGAAGTAAAGTCTGCAATTGCTCGAACGAAACCGACATAGTTCACCACTTCTCGTCGCCAGAAGAATATGTTGTGACGCCCAGTACGCCTTCGCCCCACGACCGCAAGAAGAAGTCCAAGATGAGCCGGGATGAACAGATTTTCTATTGCAGTACGGCACCAGTTATATAGCTTTACAACAAGGGCGAAGCCAAGCTACTAAACGCATGAGGTCCAACAGGCATGGAGAAAACACAAAATGGAACAAGCAAATGAGAATCGCGAAAATTACGAGCCAATGAAGTGCGGCAAAGAAAATAGTGTCTGCGGAGTTAATCCCTGGGGGTAACCTTCTGATGAGCGACCATTAAAAACGACGAGTAGTGTCCAATCAGTGTGGAGAAGTGATGCGTTTAAACAAATGCCAGAACAGTTGATAGTGAGAATGATACAAACCAGGAAAATAAAAACAGGCATAATAAATATGTGTTGGCTGAATAATACATCCACGTGAAAAAGCTAAGGAACGCTGAGCAAAAGAAACCAATCAGAATGTCCACAGAATGAGACGGCTGAAATGAGCTGTGAGCGATTGCGAATGAGGCTGAGGAAAGCGACGTGTCCAAGATGTAGCAGGGAAGCAGGTAACTGCGCAAACAAAGAAATAGGCAACTAAAATAATTCATGAAACTGAGGGTTAAGTAGCCAGCCCCCTAACATATTACATACTACCTCGTCCATAATGGCTCCAGGAGACACTTGGTCATTCCTGGAGGGGATGGGGTGCACGGTACTTGTGGCCGTGCTGGGCTCGAAGAACCGTTCCATGCATTCAGTATGGAGTGACCCACGGTCCCGTCTCTACCTGGTGTGTCCTTGATTCTACAAATACTGCTTCTGTTTGCCTGTGAAGGAATGTGGGCCGGGTCTCTTGATGAAACTTAGGTTTCCTCCACATGCCTCCCGGTCTTACTCTTTCGGATTTACACTGGATGTGGGATTTGTGGATGGTGCTGTTGGAGGTTCAGCGGAAGCCATCCATGGTCCCTCAGTAGCCGCAGGCATCCGGTGGCTATCTGCATGGAGGTCGCAGTGACAGACCGGATGCAGGCAATCATTATACTTGACCAAATACCATTGGCAGGTTGCCGCAACACATGGGTTACAGTAAGAATATAAAAGAGGGGCGAGAAAGTAGTCAGGAGAAATGTGCCTAACAACATGATCGCCATTGGGCAGGATTCCGGGCCACATCCGATAGCTTTCTCAACCAGATGTGCTCACTGTCCTTGAGAGTCTGGAACGGCATACCGTGGCCAAATGCAACGTCAGCGCCTTGACACCCTAGTCCCAGCTTGTGTAATGGCCACCTTTCCGTTGCTTTCGCCTAAAGCTGGCGCAGTCAAATGGAGCACGGCGGGCCAACTGTTGAGCTGGCATACGGAAGGCGTAACGGAGCCACCAGAACACACACAAGGAACCATGCAGCTCAGTGATCGGCTGAGACTGCATGACTTGAAAATACATATTCGAGCGCCTCTACTAAGGCCATGCAGGTGACGTAAATCAGTAATGTTCCAGAGGTAGCGGTGATCAATCACCGACAGGTCTTGGACACCTACCGCTCGAACGCTCCAGGTCTTGCATCCATACAACAGCACTGTACGTGCCAGAGCGTTGAAGACTCGACCTTTTAGTGAAAGGCTGAGATCACGTAGGCGTCAGCGATGTTGGAGCTTGGCAAAAACTACTGTGCTTTTGGTGGTGCGCAAAATAATATCACCCGTCAATCCGTTCACCCTAATGCAACACCTAGTGTAACTGCGCTTGTAAAGCACTTTTCAGGAAAAATTCGAAAGGGCAAGGATAGGAGTATCTTCCAACCATTCCTAGAGGAAAACCTATTGATTCGAGAGGGGAAAGATCATTCAAACTTGCAAAGCAGACATCTCTGACCTATGCAACTAGTCCTGGGCATATCATACAGGATCATAAATTACGATGATATCCTCAGCATACTCAAGTCATGGAGCGTAGCACCAGAGGCTAACTCGACGCAAGCAACTCCATCGTTCCCCTGTGTCGGCTGTAGGATATCACACATAGCGGAGTGGAACAATGGAACAATGGTTTATAAGGGTAAAAAAACATCGTATAACAAGTCCCGTGGGATGGAAATTATTGCGAAAATAAATTGCATAATAAAGTGAAAAGCGTTGTGGTGGACTCACCATAGACTTATGTGGAATAGCGGAGATGTTCGCCTATTAAACGTATAAATCCATCGATCCGTTGATTAGGCGTTTGGCAAGACACCGTTTGATTGCATTTTGTAACCCCTGGCTAACAAGTCATAAAATGAAATGTAAGTGAGACAATGCATCGTCAACACGTTTTCTAAATATCGCCAGATTGGGAGCAGAGACGACATAATTAGGGATGGCGTTCCAAGGCTGGCACACGCGGAGAGAAAAGAAATTTCTACGGCATTCAAGCCGGCTATAATGAATTGCCAGTTTCAGAGGGTGACCTCTTGGTTTAGTGTTGTGCTTCAATTCCAGCAGCCGACGGCAAATGTGGTTTGGGTTCTTCAGAATCTGGTAGGATGATGCGGGGCACCCCTGTCTTATGTCAGTGGTGTTACTAAAGGAGGGTGACATTTCGTCGCAAACCGGCACACGGCCCGACGTTCAAGAGTAAATAGTTTGAGGAATGTTACAGTGATTCTCGGACACTCTCTTTCTCAGCAGACAACCCCAGAGAACAGCCCTGTCAACTGACTCAAATGCTGCGTTTCTGTTCAGGGAGCAAATGATGGTAGGCAGATCAAAAGTTCGACGGTGCTCGAGCATTTGGTGGATCTTAAAGCGGTGATTATTGTAGCTCCCGTCTGGGTGAAGCCCAGCTTTTTATTCGCATAGGTACAGTTAATCAACCCGACTGCGGCTTCGTAGAAGCATAGAGGCAAGCACTTTAGATGCAACGCATAGGCGACTGCTGTCTCGGTAGTTGGTGCAATCCATTCGGCCAACTTTTCTGAAGCTGGGCTCGATGTCCGCTAAGCACCAGTCAGATAGTATGAGTTCTGTGATTTAAATCACCTGAAGAATTGTAGTCAATACAAAAAGACGGGGTAGGTCACTATGTTTGTGAGGACCCGGAGGCAGTTCGTCGGGACCGGGAGGTTTGTAACCTATTAGAAGATGACGCATGTAGGGAACCTCAGCTTTAGATGGTGAAGTGGTGAGTACACACCAGCGAACACCATAGGAAAAAGTATCTCAACTCGATTGACATATTCAACCAGGTCATTAGACAAGTTCCACTTCACGGAACTTATGTACATCCGCGAGACAGTTAGTTAAACTTCTAATACAAACTGCTGTATTTTTAGACTTGCGAATGGTTTTGTGAAAATCAGTCTCTTTGTGTGCGGTTTAAGATCTGAGTTAAAGAGACAATCGTGTGATTCACCGCTCCTACAATTACTTCAGCTTGAATGTGCCCCCACGAATGTGCCCGCCTAGGATTCGCTTTTTAAGTATGGCTTCATGGTGTATTAAAAGCCTATCACATATTATTAGCCCTGCACAATACTTGTTTGCAAGGGATGCTCTCCAATCGCCACTTACCGTTTTCACGGACACAAGTATTTGGCCTTTACTATTATCGCTTCTTACTCATTTGGCTCATTCAGCGACCCCTGTGTTGTTGCTTGGCCGCGATGCGCTATTGTAGCTTTGCTTTACCCACTATTGTACACTAGACAAGAAAGAAGTTTTCGGATACATACAACCCGTTGCTGGCTCGTCTTTGTGTTCTCCTTGCTGTCGTGGAGTGCGAACGATCGGTGGCGACAAAACTTGGGGAATACTATGTAGAGACATGGGCGAATCACCGCAACTTTTAAAAATGATAAGCACCGGAACTCGCAAACCATTACCCAGTGGTCCGCATTCTTTACTCCCAAAGATGATGGAAGCATCCTTCGCTTAGATCTCAGTAAACCATCTAGAAATCTGCAATAGCCTAACAACAGATCAGTACAGTTTTCGTCACTACTGTATATGCACAACCGACCCACTGATTCCACACGGTTGCTCGACGGAAGTGACTGACAAATGGACAAGCACTGAGGTCATTCAACTCAACTTCTCCAAAGTCTGCGACCGCCTGGACTACCACATTCCGATTTCCGGTTAGAAAGCTAGGGGGTTTTGAATGCTGTTGTTGGATGGATGAGGATTTTTGCGCGGCGAAGACAACTGCGTTCGATCGCCTGGATCATGGGATATTTCTATTCAAGTTTCACTATTAGGGCATCAGTGACCGTGTACTAATCTGCATCGTCAACTTCTTCATCCAACGGCAATTAATGGTCATAGTTCGGAGCTCCTTATTCTACTCCATACAAGTCGAGTTAGGCGCACCGCATGATTCAGTTCCACGTCCACGAATGCTTTGGTTTATTAATGACTTCGCACAGGAAATCGCTTCAAACCTTCTGCTACTTGCCGACGACAGAAAGATTTGATACAAGATTATGGGGAATGCCGACCAACTTCTGCTTCAAATTGAAGTAGACACGGTACATTCGTAGTAAATCCAAAATTTACTGCCTTGCAACTTGACTAACCGCATGGTATTCTCCATACAACACCAGCGCAACTACTCGTGCAGGCTCGGGAGGCATATACTGCAGCAATCTTCCGTCAAACGTCACCTGGGTGTGCTTGTTTAGAATGACTTAGGTTGCTACAGGCAATCCGAAAAGATCTCGAATGATGGTAACCAACAAGTCGGGGTGTTGCGACGGGCGTTCGGACAAATTGATATCTAGCTTTTCAGACAAAAGCGCAGTGCGTATGTGCGTCCCCGTGCCGGATAGGCAATTCAACTTTGGCTTCCATGGCTGCGACACGACAGCAATACACTGAAGCAGTCTTAACGTCGGGCATCCAAGTACCTCAGTAGAATACGCTACCTCCCATATGAGCAGAGGCAGCGACGATAGGAGTATTCAGGCGACGGTATCGTCGATTACGAGGTGACGTGGTAAAGAACTAGTAGATTCGGCACGACCCACATTGTGTGGACCGTTCGTTACTACAACTCAGCAGTGATACAAACCTGAGAGGTCACTCACTGAAACTCCCGGAGCATTGTAGCGGTCTGGAGTACCGCGGAAATAGTTTTTCTACTCGTGTGTGTCACCGGTGGAACGCTGTCCTCAAATCGGTCGTTTCTGCAACCTCACTAGCAATATTTAAGAGACTGTTGAATGACCAACTCAGCCACTTACACTTTGATACTTGACATTATATTCTTAATATTCTCCTGGAATATACTTTGAATGTATTTGCTGTTACCTGTGTGTGCTATGAAACTACGCGGATTGGAGGACTACAGCATAACAACTGATAAGTCCCTATTTTCATACATAAGGTGCTGCCTGTTCTTTTCAATAACCGCACCAAATCACTCAACGGGACCTATAAAACAATGCTTCTTAACCGGTATAGATTCACTATACCTTTCTTCAATGTTCATGTTAAATTTCACAGTTTGCTGTCCTGTCCGATTCAGCTTGTATGCGGAGTTCCATAAGGATCAGCGCTGAGGTCGAGTCTGCTC